TCCGTGGGATTCGAACTCTAGACCTGCCGCTTGGGGGTGCAGCAACCCCACCACTTCACTAGGTCGCCACACCCCTACATATTGACATTTCCTTTGGTTGTAAAGAATAATTCAAATTGATTTAACTGCTCAGTTGTTAGCTTTGTGCGATGAATAACTGGTTTTGTTAAAGCTGGTACACCATATCCATTTATTTTTGCATGTTTTCGCGATTCTGAAATTGTATGATTCCTGACCTATTAATGTTAGTTTAAAATTATATAACTATTATTCAAATTCATATAGGACTTCTTGACATCAATAAACTTATAAATGGGTGATGCCAAAAGAAAACCAGACTTCAATCATATAAATTTATAATTGAAGTCTGGTTTTCCCTTGGCATCACCCAAATAATACTTGCGCCTAAATTGGTTTTTAACTCTGAATAACTAAAATCGTTGGCAATTACTGATAGAATTCGTCTTTTTCCATCCTTTGTTTTTTTGTTATCCGCTAGTGCTTTATTAAAGCATTGCCAAAAAATACGAGTTTTATTAGGAACATAACTTGGTGAGCTATTTAAGAATCCCAAATTGTATAATTGTTGAAGTATAGCCCGATCATTTTCATGCAGTGCATTTTTTGTCCATAATTGATACTGCGTTATAGAAATAAATGAACTTGAATTAGTATTTGTTTTATTTTAGAAGTTTAAACTTTACCTTTGATTCTTCAGGTGCCCATGGAGTTATATTTTGACAACCACTTGCATAAAGCATCGCACGCCAAGCACTTATTTCACGATAACTAAATTGGTAATCTGGAGGATAAATATCTCCAAGACTTGAATAAAGTTCGACGATGTTAGTTTGACTTTCCTGCCATTTTAGAAATAAACTATGCCAATTTATATCTGCAAGCGTCCTTCGTTTTAAGTTGTAATCAAAAAGAAACTTCATAAGAGCATAATTAGACCAATTTTTTGGTAAACAAGTAGGAACATGATGTTGGCGAATTAGTGATTGCATATCAGAATCGTCGAGCCCAAAAAGTTGAACGCCAGTATATTTTTGAATATTTAATTTTTGCCACACTTCATTTAGAGATAACCCTTTAATCCGGTTTTTAATTTCAAAGTCTTTATGAACCTCAACTGCACAAAAATCATCTTCTATCATTGAAAAGTATAGAATGCTTGTTCCATTTACATTATGAAGAAGTGAAGACTTATATCCCGGTCCACCATGATTCCATTCAGCATTTGAAGAAGATCCAATGCCAGAAACAAAAATTTTGTATTCACCGAGCGAAGAAAATATAGGAACAAATGATACATCTGTTAATAGCTGTTCAATTATTAATTCGTCCATCCATCCAAGTGCTAAAAATCTGGAATAACGTGTTTGAGTATTGAAGATCTCTTTATATACTGTAGAAATTGCTGTAGTTGGATCCGGTTTTATGCTAGAACAAGAGCCACTTTCACAATAAAACCTAGGTAAAAAAGAATTTTCAGAGTAGTTAATAATAACCATTATAAAAAATTCATGTTTGTTTAAAATTATTTTTGTTTTTTGACCAATTCGAATAGGAAATTTTTTTTTTTTGCTTATAGTAGAAGACCGCCACCAGTATCACGAAAATGCGCCATAATAAATATTTTCGTCTAATACCCCCTTTTCTATTAATACAGCAGAGAGTTTTGTCATTTTTTATGATCTTTAAGAACCAAACTTCACAGATTTGTACGTATATGATAAATCATTAGTATATTTATCCCCGAAATATTATATAAAATTATGCTTAATTTGTGCCGATTTTATCCAGATCGGCAATTAAATATTTTATGATAATAGTTTATATTTCTAACTAGTTAATATATTAAAATTATTTAATTAAAATATTAAAATAGTTTTAAAATAGTTATAATATATTTATATAAAAATATATTAATATTTT